ATAAAGTAAGCATAATGTGATTTTTTTTAGAAAAAAATCAGTAGTTTGACAAATCATACCATTTTCATACCAATTTAATAATTTATACCATAAACACAGTTAATAGACAATCACACCAATGTTAAAACGCAATTCATACCATTTGTATACCATTATTATATCACAATTCATAAAATTTTCAAAATCAAAACATTTAAGCGTAGTCATACACATATTAATTAGATTTCATACAGATTTCATCCAATAAATGTACAGTTTGGAAACACACTGATATTTTCAAAATAGTATCTTGAAATTGAAATAGGCAATCAGTAATTCATATGTAAACGGTATCTGCCTGAAAGAAAACATATGATATTATATATCATCAAATACTTAAACACAAAAAAATTGTCCAAAAGTTTAAAAAAAATAACTTTTTGTTGTTCTTCTTGTTGATGGTTTTGAAGATGCTCCAACTTCTACATTTTTTTTTTCTTTTTGATTTCAGTAACAAAATCAAAATCAGAATCTGAATCAGAATCAGAAGGGATTTCAACAATTTTCCCCTTCCTCTTCTTCCCCTTTTGATTTGCAGGGTTGACCTTTTTTCTTCTTCATTTTTTCTCTCTTTGTCGATCCTTCAACTTAGATGAACCATCCGTCGCCGGATTTTGAATATTCGCCGGATTTTCAACAATTTTAGGCGGGGGGTGTATAGTTGGATATGTGTGGGGGAAGGGTGGTGGGATTGACTAATGGGAGTTTATGAGTATAACATTAAATAAGGAAGTGTAATCAATGTAAAATCCCTATAATTGTGTAAGAGATAATTATGGGGTATTCTTTATTTAAATAATTTAATAATAATATAAAATTATAAAAAATTACTTATTTAATAAAGTAAAATTTAATTAATTTATAAATAATTAGTGATATGTTATAACCCGTAATTAAATTGTTATAAACAAAAAAAATTAAAAAGTAGATTTAAAATCTGTAATATTTACTCTTAAATGTGTGTATGGGGTGATTTTTCCTATACAAAACTATAAAACCTGTATATCCAAAAGTATAAGATTTGGGTCAATCAACTTGTGAAACTGAAAAATAATCACACACAATTAAGTTTTAATTGTGTAAAACATATAATAAAATTCTTCACAAGACTATATAATTTATGGAAAAGGGTAAAAAATACCTTTAAATCATGTAAAATTGAACAAAAATGTCCCTAGTTAGCAGTTTAGTCTAAAATATATTTGTTGTCAATATTTCGTCCAAAAATGCTTCTATGGTTAATTAATGGGTCAAAAATATTGTTTTTTTTCAATACATTAGAAAAAATTCTTTTTCTAATGATGATTTTTTTTTTAAATTAGTAAATATTTATTCTACTTCAATTCATAAAAGATTAATAATTTTTTTATCATTATCTAAATAAAATTGATGATATAATTACTATGATCAATTAAAAAGGTACATGGAGTTATTCTATTTTAATTGTTAAAATGAGATTAAGAAGATAAAAAAAAAATTCTGCTTATTTATAAGCTAAAGTGATTTTAAAAGAAAAAAATAATAATTAGATTCTTTAATAATAATATTTTTTTATTAGAAATAGAGTATGTTTAAAAAGAAAAAATGCTAATATATTTATTAGGAAAAAATCATTTTTGATCATTAAGTAATAATAAAAACATTTTTAGACCAAACTATTAGTAGGGATATTTCTGGACCAAACTATTAATTGAGTGTATTTTTGTTCAATTTTACCTAGTATAAGGACATTTTTAAATTCTTTTTCGTATAATATAACATTTTATGTTTAGGGCCATTTAGGTCAATTGAATTCTTGAACAAACCTACAGTACTATAGTCCACGCATCCACAATCCATGGGCCAGAAATCCATAGTCCGGGTCATTCGGCTATTTAATATGGGCTATAAATAACCCAACAAAGCAACAAGCCAACAACTGAGAAACACAAAAAGAGTCCATGACCCGGGTTTTCCCCAAATCCACTCTGTCAAAACCCTAGAAGACCCTTTACCGTGGCGGGTCGCAACACTCGCCATTTGTATCCATCCGGGTCAGGGTACATTCCTCGGACCCATTCCTCCTTTACCGTGGCGGGTCGCAACACTCGCCTTTTGTATCCATCCGGGTCAGGGTACATTCCTCGGACCCATTCCTCCTTTACCGTGGCGGGTCGCAACACTCGCCTTTTGTATCCATCCGGGTCAGGGTACATTCCTCGGACCCGTTCTTCCTTAGCATTGGCGTCCACACCGAATCTAGGTATTGCAATTTTGGGAGTAAATAAATTTTACATGTGAAGAAGATGGAAAATAAATTTTGTATGTGATTCAAGAATGTGAAAATAAATTTTGTATGTGAATTAAGAATGTGGAAAATAATTTTGTATGTGAATCGAGATGTGGAAAATAGACTTTGTATGTGAATCAAGAATGTGGAAAATAAATTTTGTATGTGAATCAAGAATGTGGGAGAAGTCTACATAGATTTCAATTTTGGAAATAATTTTCTACATTGTATATAGACAGACAGAGAACATCCGAAACAGGAGACTTAGTTATGGCTTTTTTACAAAGAAACTATCATTTTCTTTATTTTCTTTGGTCCCAATTTTGCATTATTGAACTTTTAACTTTGTCTAAATAAAATGTATGGATTTATTACTTAACTGATTATATTGATTTATAGGGTGTGGAGTTGAAAAAGGAAATGGAGACAATGGGGTTTGTAGTTTCAAAAAAGAGTAAAGGGACATGGAGATATTGGTTCAAGGTTGCTAATAACCTTAAGCGACAAATAGACTTGTCTCGTATTAAAGAAAATGTTGTGGTCTTAACAAATGGTTAGGAAAACCAGTTCTAATGGTTCAAATTCTACAGCTGATTCCACATTTTCAAAGTGTCCATTTGAACAATTAGAATTAGTTTTCAGATCACTTGCAAAGGCCACAGGATTCACTTTAATGCAAGATGAGTCGATCTGTTGGTTTAGGGCGACAATGCTTCTTGCCTCTGATGGCATGCAATTACAGAGAAGATGAGTTGTTTCTAAGTAGTATTTTGCATTTATTCGCTATGAGCCTTCAGACATTCAAGGTGTTATCTGTCCTGAATGGTGGTAGTGGTTTGCAAGGTTTGAAGCATATTATTGCATTGTCAAATGTAAAGGATCATATTGTTCTTTCAGTTTGGTACATAAATGCCTCTTCAATTGCTATATGCATATGTTTGTGTGTGTTTACATACATAATGTATATATGTATGTGTGTGTGTCTTTTTATATTTAAAATATTATATATCCTTATAATGGGGAATGTAAGCCATCTGCAAGTTTGCAACACACGAGGAGAGAAAAGTGAATGTAGATTATTTCAGCAGATAAGATTACATCGTTAGCTTCTGACTGATACTCTTTTATTTCTTGTTTCATGTCATTTCTTGTCTTTCTCTGTTTTTGATTTGATAACCATTATTTTCTTTTCATGGCATTTATTCAATAAAATGATAATTGTTGTTTCTTGATATACTCTAATAGCTGATTAGATGCTCATTTGGCCTTTCCTCAGGCTCTTGGTTTGGTGAACAAATAAGAATTGCTTAATACACTAGTGTGTTTTTGATAAAGGAGATAGACTACTATTAATCTACAAGGAGATTACACAGGCAAATATGGACTTCTTAGTTTCCTGGTTGAGCACTATGCAAGACAGGAAGTTAGTAGGCTTCAAAACAAGCTATCTGATTCAGCTCTGTCCAGAAAATTTTAGAGAATATGTAGTCAGGGATTGTTTGGTTGGCCACATAAGAAAGTATCACCGCACACAAAATTCTGCATGTCTAGTATACTATGTTTGATTTGCAACATAAAACTTTGTACTGCTAATTTAATTTCCGGTGTAAAACTATGCATAACAAATATTCCTTCCGTCCCAATTTAAGTGTCTTGGTTTGATTGAGCACGGAGTTTAAGAAACAAAGGGAGACTTTTGAATCTCGTGGTCTTAAATTAAAAATGTGTGTAGTCTTTCAAATTTTGTGGTCTTAAACTTGCCAGGTAGATTGTTGAAATTGGAAAACTTACTAAATATAGAAAGAGACAGTCTTTCTAGGACAGATCAAGAAGGAAAGTAAGAGCATGTTTAGATTGGCTTATTTTAAGTGTTTTAAGCACTTTTTTAGTGTTTGGGTAAAATAGTGCTTTTAAGCACTTGTGTCTAAGCCAAAAACTACAAGTCCATCCAAACAGGCTCTACGACACTTAAAATTGGGATGGAGGGAGTACTTCTTTTGTTGTGGTACTAAAGTATGTATTGCTAATACCAACATAATTATGTGTGATTCAGTGTATTATCTTATGCGGGATAGGATATGGAATAAAAATAGTAATTATCGATACTTGGATAAGAGTATGTAGAAGCATAAATTTTGCTTTTAAAGTAGACAATTATTCAGCTCATAACAATCCCTACATTGATATTCATTGCATAACACTCCTTTACCATGATCCCTGCATAAACTAGTCCGCAAACCAAATGGCCCCTCAAGGTATGAATAGGGTGTGCCTATTTCCTATACAAAGACCTTGAGGACATGTAACAAGTGGGCAGAGTAAGGCTGGCATGTCTCTTGGTCAGATGCCTCTCCAACTCTTTTAAGCCAAGTATTATCATATTCATGTTATGAATATCTCTTTTCTTGAGAATTGCTATATATGCCAAATATACTTGTCAAATTTTTTGATCACAGCAGCGGTAGATCACTTGTCATAAAAAAGATATGCCATTAATGGGAAATACTTTACTTATTTCTAAAGATAATTTCTTTAAAAAGATTGTGGTTGGATTTTGTTATGGTCTTTATCTATCTCTATCACAAACCAAGTGCAATGACTGCCCACTCTTTTAGGAGATATTGGCATATCGCATTGTCAAGCCAGTTGTACTCTTTGGTTGTTCTATCCTGTCTGATCTAATTGATGGTAATTTGCGACCCCTCAGCGGTCGCAATTATTTGCATTAGGGTGTAAAAAGGTACTCTATTGATCTATTTTTTTTTTGAATTTGTATTCCTCCACTTTTATGATAATGGTAGCTGGTAGGTTCTATTCATTACTATTGTAATTCTCAATGACTATCCACTTAGCTTGTACAGTCACATTCATTAGGCACTTGTATGAGAGATATATTAATTCAACCACAATCAATATAGGAGGCTGCTATAATCTGTCAATCTTAAACAAGGATCAGGAGAATCGCTTTTCTAGAGATCACACACTTTATATTGTAGATTTGGTATCAAAAGTAGTAAAGGAAAGTTGTAAATTTTGAATGTAGAAATGGTAATTTATTAATTCAGCAATGTATATGCAGTTATTAAGAAGGGAGGTATGATAGGATTTGCATGCGATTTTGTACCACATCGTCTCAAAAGCAAAAAATCATTCTTTTGTTAATCTATTTAGCGGTTTCTAATTATGAACTTCAATACACAGCTATTGGGCCCGCCTAAGTGCGGGCCCTTGATGGCTCGCATGACCTTGTAGGAAGGTCCTTCCAATGAGTTGCAGTATGCTGCAAATCTTGTCCGCGCATTTGCTGGCACATAGGGATCCAGGTAATGTAACTTCTCCCTCAAACCCTTGTTCCATTAATTAGTTTTGTCCTTTTTCTGGTTTTTCTTCTCTGATTTTTGTGATTATTGTTCATCCTTAACTTTATATCCTTGGTATTTGCCTATAAGTTTCCTTTCTTTCTGTGTCTTACCTTTGGGCGTTATGTTTTTCTTTGTTTTTGTTGAAATACATTTGGAAAGTAAGAGAAATTAAGTATAAGCTCTCAACACATATGAAGTTTCTCGTTCTTCTTTCACATTTACCAGTTAAAAAAAAGTTTCTTGTCCTTCTTTTCCCTTCTTGTGCATCTATTTTAAAAGTCTTCATTCTTTTAGTTCTAGTCCGACTTCTATCCTAAACCTCGGTTAAAGCTTCATCCGAACAAGAACAGAAAAGGCATGCACTGACTAATTGAACGGTTTTGTTGACCCAAATATTGGAAGTTTTCACTCGTTCCGCTCTCAATCTGGGTTTCTCTTGAATGATTTGGATAGTTGGCGAATGTTGGATGGTATATGGATTTGTTTCTTCGCTGATTTGAAATGATTAGATTCTTGTTTCTTGTTCTGAGAATCTTAGATAAGATCTCAAAGCTAATCCTATGAAAGTGTTCTAAAACTTTCTTTTGGATGTTTAATCATAGTTGACATTTTTAAATACAACATAGATAGCAAAAAGAGCATACTTTATACTGCTGACATCGGAGCGTCTGGCTTATTATTTGCCAATTTTCCTATCTTTTTCACATTAGTGCTAATGGAGAACATCCCAGCTGGGTGCTTAGCATCATCCACTGTATTCTGAACTAATTTGACACTCCCACCACAGCTGTGTTGCCTATTGCAATGTAACAGGAAGTACAGCATTTTCACATGAAGCACCAGCAGACAATTGACTTATGGATCCTTTGCCTTTTCAGGTTCTCGACTGTCAGAACCACTCCCCATCTGCGATTTGAGCAATTAAATACACCTTTCTTGGTGCTATCCCACCTCTGCAATTGAAGCAATCAATCACACTTTCTTGGTGCTGCCCGAGTTACAAATCCAAGCTATTAAACAACCTTTCTTGGTGCTCAAGGTATCCCATCTGCGAATCAAGCAATAAAACACACATTTCTCGGTGCTCAAGGTACCTAAACCAATAAATGTGGGACCACTCATTTCAATTGAAATAGAATTGTCTTTCTGTATCAGTTACCATTATCAATTTTTTTTAATTGCATAAATGAAAACTGTAGCAAATTCTTTTTAATTTATAGACATACTATTATTTGGGATATCATAACATTTCTGGGAGGAGTGTATGACATTTCATAACATTTCTTTTTAGTTTATAGTCCTACATCTCTTCTTCCTTATATCCCAGACCTAGCTGTGTAACTTTCTTCATTGTGCCTTGCATCATCCACTGTATTCCGAACCAATTAAGCGCACTCACCATAGCTGTGTTGCTACTTTTGCAATGTAACAGGAAGTAGTCCACACTATCAACTGTGCATTTGCACATGAAGCACCAGGCATCAGCTGACAGATGTGATCCTTTGCGTTCTCATGTTCTCGGCTGTCCGCATTGGACCGAGTTGTGACCCAAGCTAATAAACATATCCTTCTTGGTGCTCAAGGTATCTAAACCAATAAATTTGGGATCACACATCCAAATCAGAATAGAATTGTCTTCTGTATCATGCGTTCAAAGGTTGTAACTTGGAAGTAGAAGTTTGGCCAGCTGAAAACGATGTGAGATTTAAAAAAAAAATTATAGCCAATTATTTGGCATCTCATAACATTTTTGAGGAGTATATGACATTTCATAGCATTTCTTTTTAATTTATAGCCCTACATCTCTTCTTCCTTCTCCCTAGGCGTATCTGTGTCACTTTCTTCATTGTGCCCGGCATTGTCCACTGTATTCCAAAAATTCAGCACTCTAACCATAGTTGTGTTGCCACTTTTGCAATATAACAGGAAGTAGTCTGCATTCTCAACTGTGCATTTGCACATGTACTGGGTGACAGCTAACGTATGTGATCCTTCGCGTTCTCATGTTCTCGGCTGTCAGCACTGGACCCAATCTGCAACACAAGCTCATAACACACCCTTCTCTCGGTGTTCAAGGTATCTAAATCAATAAATGTGGGATCACACATGCAAATCAAAATAGAATTGTCTTCTGAATCATGCTTTCAAAGGTTGGAACTTGGAAGCAGAAGTTTGGCTAAGTGAAAATGAAAAGCTATAGCAAATTCTTTTTAATTTTTAGTCATTCTATTGTTCGGGATTGCATTACATTTTTGGGTGGAGTATATGACATTTCTTATATTTCGTTTTAATTTTATAGCCCTACATCTCTTCTTCCTTCTCCCTAGGCCTATCCGTGTAACTTTCTTCATTGTGCCTGGCATCATACACTGTATTCTTAACCAACTCAACACTCTCACCGCAGTTGTATTGCCACTTTGCAATGTTACAGGAAGTAGCCCACATTCTCAACTGTGAATTTGCACATGAAACCCCAGGTGACACCTGACATATCTGATCCTTCACATTCTCATGTTCTCAGCTGTCAGCACTGGACCCGAGCTGCGATCAAGCTAATGATCACACCTTTCTTAGTGCCCAAGGTATTTAAACCAATAAATTGGGATCACACATTCAAATCAAGATAGAATTTTTTGTATCATTCATTTTCAAAGGTTGGAACTTGGAAGCAGAAGTTTGGATAAGTAAAAACCGTAAGAGCAATTTTTTTTTAATAGCCATACAATTGTTTGGGATCTCACAACACTTTTGTGAGGAGTACATGACATTTTATAACATTTCTGTTTAATTTACCATCTCAAAAAAAAAGGTTTTTCTTTTTGAATTTATAGCTACATCTCTTCTTCATTTATCACCCCACTTTGTGGGATTATATTGGGTATGTTGTTGTCGTATCCCTACATCTCTTCTTCCTTCTTCCCTAGGGCTGTGAAACTTTCTTCATTGTGCCTGACATAGTACACTGTATTCCCAACCAATTCAGCACTCTCACTATAGCTGTGTTGCCACTTTTGCAATGTAACAGGAAGTAGTCCACATTCTCAACTGTGCATGTGCACATGAAGCACCAAGTAACATCAGTATATGTGATCCTTCGGCGTTCTCATCTGCGACCCAAGCTGATAAACACACCTTTCTTGGTGCTCAGTTGGAGCATACAACTCGTGGCATAAATGAGAGGACTTATTCCTGGAGCCTGGTCAGTAATACTGGATGTCCCTGACACCAGCAGCAATATAGAACTTTGGTCAGAAACCAGTATTAGGCTGAATTGGCAATTATCCAGGCTGTGGTGCAAACTTGCTTTCTGGAAGCATGATTCTAATGGATGAACTTACTGATAGTCCAGCAGTCGTAGAAGCTATAGAAATTAAGATGACAGTAGACTTTGATTTTACAAAAAAACAACCATGCCCCTTTCCCGAGCAAGTTGGGTTAGTTATATGAATCTTCTCTGCACATGTTATTTTAAACTCTTTTTGATCTAATATTATTATCTAAAGTCTTGTACATCTTTTATTGACATAAATTTCTAATATCAATTTTACAGGTAGAAATTTAGCAAAATCAGACACCATTAGACAAAACATGGAGAAAGAATTATTAATTAATTAATTGTCAATAAGTACATCAGGAAACACAGATTTGTTGATGCATCACATTCATGCATTTCTTGAAAGTTTTTCTCAGTGCTCAAGTCTAATACCCTCAAAAGAATTTTGGAAATTTACTGAACTAAGGGGAGCTCAAGTAATCCAATGTCCATTGGATCGAGAACACAGTGTAGGCAGGCTATTGCCAAGAGCTTTGAATCTTTTTTCCATTCCCTTCTGTAGAAAGTTCATCTTGTAATTTGCATTCAAAAGAGCCTGAGTTTGAAAAAAATTGCTCCTTGATGCTTTCAGGTCTCTCAGCGACAATGTGTATTCCTGAGATCAGACGTAGGCACTAAATCAGGAAAAAGTCGTTCTCACATAAATGCTATACTCATACTTCACTCTGGTAAATAGGTTTATAACCACGAAAAGCCTAACCTGATGAATTCTATGATTCAGAATATTGGTTTTGGAACAGGATATCTAGCAACCATTTTAGCTGCTACCAAGCCAGCAGCCAGAGCCACTCCAAATAGAGCATGAAGTTTCACACAGTAATACTTTGCCATAAAGATCTTTGCTTTGTCCTAAAATATTGAAGTTCAAAATCATGACTCGAATGAACATTGATTGCCCAAAGGGAGAGCTAAGTAGATATAAGTCAGAGGAGGATATACAGTTGCACTTTCTATTTCTCCAACATTACCCCAACAATGACCAAGATGATGTTTTCGTGGAAGAATAAAACAAAATCTTCACTCACCTTATGGTTCTTCTCCACATAGCTAACTACGAGTTTTCCCATTGGTATTGTTAAAGCACCAAGAATCTGGAAGAAATTGATACTGGATTAGATAGTGGAACATATCTAAGTATTCATAATTTGAAGGTTAAAAAAATAACAGTAAAATCGCCAACATAAAATCCATAACAGGTTTATCACAACTTAGTAAACTTCTTTGGTGACTACAAGTTCAGGAAATTGTTTCTGGTTAAAACCAAATGAACAAAAGCTTCCCAAAACATGTACGTCGCAGATAAACAGAAAATGAAATTTCTCATTGGTAATTATTGTAACCACATTAAGAAACCATAAAAAGACTTACAATGCATGTAAATGGAAGTGTTTGAGTGAAACCAAGAAGAAGCATCCCTGAATAGAGTGTTGCCACACCCACTTTTACAACTCTAGAAGCAGCTCCTGTACCAAGCCTAACCTGAACTCAGAGGCAAAAATAAAAGTGACCACTAGTTCTTCCATTTCTACTTGAACTTTTGATGTCTGACCTAGGTGTACTTACCAGTGGAGAAAACTTTCCCACGGCCTTATCCCCTTCTACCTGAATTTTGTATCAGATGAATGAGTTGCAAGTACTGGTAAAATAACGGTTAACAAATTATTTCCCACAATGATGGAGTCAGGGAAGGTAAGGAGACCTTATTACCTGGTGGAAATGACTACAGAACAGGATAAGTGATGTTGTGAAACCAACAAGTGCTGATGCTGAAAGTGTTGTATATGTGATTGGGAGCTCACTGAAATGCATATTAGACTAGATTTAGTTATGTGTAAAAACCTTCATTATATGGGTATTAATAATAAAACAAACCTGGTGCTGCTTTGAAGCAAGTAAAAGGCAGTCGTAGCAAAAGGACCAAATGCAGCAAAGCACAAGGGTTCCCCCAGACCTTGGTAACTTAACCGAAACGGCGGGCACTACAAGACAGTTTGTTAGAAGCAACGGAATCCAATTATTTACATATTGAGGGGAAAGAGAGACAATAAACACCTGAAATTACTCATAAATCTCCCATACGACATAGAGAGAGAGGGGGGGGGGGGGGGGGGAATAAAGGCAGAAGAAGTGATGGAAATCGATCCCAGCTTGTATATGGTAGATGTTTTGAAAACAGGAGCAGATCTATACAGAGAATTAAGATGTATTATATTCAGTCTTTGTATTTTTGGTGTAAAGCAAACTATGTAGAGAATACTGAATCATTACTAGAGTTTGTAGAATCATTGTAGCAATCTTGTAAACTTGTAAGCAGAACAAGTTTTTTTACTTATTTTAACTGTAAATATGGTGCCCAGCTTTTCCTTAATGCTGATGAGTACCATTTCTCAAATAAATAAAAAACTGGAAGTTCCTGGCGCTGTCCACTTCGGCTTAAAGAACATTACCATAGCTGTAGGGGTACTATTGCAGTGTAGAAAAATGTAACAGTTGTTTTCCATCTCTTTCTCTCAAAGGTAGCACCTGTTGCACAAGTTTATCTTTAGTTTTAACTAGTCGCATGTGCTGCCACTCAAGTCAATCAACATTGAGAGGAACATGTGAAATCTGCTTCCAAGTCCGAGATTAGCACAGAAGCCCACTAATTTAATATTAAAAACATTAAAATAAGATCTTTGTAGTTTAGCATGGAGAACAAGAGGACAAGACAGGTGCTGTAATAGAAACTGCTGAAGTTATTTTTCTTTTTTTAAAGAAAATAGTTGGTATTGAGCAAGCTCCATTGATGGAAACTTTGAACAGATACAGCTGAGGGAGAAAGAGTAAAGTAGGATCAGTCTGACTACTTCTTAATCCCAATGGGAAATTGAAATTGAGACAATGATAGATTGATTGATTGCACTTGGATTAGAGATTTTTTTAGCAGAAAATTCGATTTCCAAGCATTGTAGCAATTAGCGGGGTTATAAGAAAGAACCATTTATAAAGAGGATCTTTGCCACTTCAATTAAGATGTTGAATTTCCTATGCTAACCAGAATAATAAATGTTGCTTATGGAGCAATATATGCAGGATCAGAAGTATAGAAGATTCCATTGGACTAAATTATTTGAATTACCTGATATATGTAACCACAAGTAATTGCAGAAGCTAATAGTAATATAGCACGTAGATTTGCAGCCTCCACAGATGTATAAGTAATCCCCAAGAAACCAAGGGCAAGTAACAAGCAAGCAGCGATGAATGTTCCTGTGCGGCTTACACCAAGATTACAAAGCAAAGTGAATCAACCTTAAAACTGTAATTCCAAACAAATAAATATAAGGCCATTGCATGACCACATTGTAAAGGCAACCTTATACTGGAAAAGTCACAGGAACTTCATATTCACAAACTGAAATATGGAAGCAGTCTGAGAAAGAGTGACTTTAGTTGATACATCCTCTTTTTTTTTTAGAAAGGCAACATTTTAGTTGACATATACTTTTAGTCAGCAAAAGAGTAGACTCTAGGACATACTTGAGACAGGTTATTGACTTATCTAGCTTGTACCTATAATCCAGTAACTATGATAAATAGCAGTCTGACTGAAGGATGGTCAATATACAGGTTATCCTGCCCCCTTCATGTATTCAATGACAATGATTTCAAGCATAAGAATTAAGAGCTCAATATACACAGCCATGCACTTAATTTTCAGAAAATTAAGGTACATCATCCTAATCAATATAAGTAAGATTAAAAAAAAAAAAAGGAAACAAAACAAAATAGTAATGCGATTGCCATGGCAGCGGTAGAAATTTTTACCTGCCAACAATGTTCACAACTGACTCTTTCTTGTCCTTATCAGCTCCTGTGTCAAAATCATAAACGTCGTTGCTGCCCAGATTACAGAGATATTGATATAGAGTGCAAGTTGTTTAACAAGGACATTATAGTCCTTACTTATAACATAACCATAAAAAATAAAGCCACATGCATTATAATGAAATACAATCTTTTTAAAACAAATCAGAATTATTCCTATTACAGTGCACCAAGACAATGTCAAGGGTTGGCTAGCGGTCAATAAGTGGGTTGAGAACCATAAGGTCTCATGTTCAAATCCCAACGGAGGCAAATACTAGGTGATTTTTTCCCATTTATCAAAGCCTTGGTAGGCAGAATTGCCTAGTACTTGAGTTGGTGGGTGATAGTAGGTACCCCGTTAAATAAGTTGAGGTGGCGCGAGCTAGCCCAGACACCACAATTTTTAAAAACAGTGGGTTTGTTGCTTAACCACTTCCATCTCCCAAGTTAGCCCAAATATCTCTCTCATATGTTCAGAAACAATCTCAAAATATACAATTCTTAACCAAGGCAACATGGAATTACACTTGAGGGTAGAAGAGACAAGAAAATGTAATGTAAGTAAATGAAAAGAAAGGGGGAAAAGAAGCTGAGGACTAGAGAAGAAATCAAGATTTTCAAGAACTAACCCCTCTAATATAAAAGTCCTACCCCTATCCTTATTCGTTAATTGTTGCAACAAATGTCATTCAATCAAGTGCTGAATATTGAAGAGGATTTGATCGTATCCAAATGTCATTCAATCAAGTGCTTCTTGCACTAGACAACTTTGACTAGATGGTGAAAGCACATCAAAGTATTTCCACCTTGCCACCATGATCAAGTAGTAGATAGAATTCCCAAAGACAGTAAAACACACACCTTAAATTAAGCCAAGTGATGATAAAAACTGAAGATGCCAACAGCATAAAATAACGCCTAGCAGAAAAGAGGCCTGTCTGCAAATAAGCAGCTGCACTCCCCACCTATTCATGAGTAGCAAAAGAACAGTGAGATTTTAGTGGAATGATATTGCAAAATCTGTTCAGTATAAGCATAGACAGTTTTACTATAATTATTCACCACAACAACAAAACCAAAGGTAAATTTGGAAATCTCTTTAGCTAGATCAAGTGAAAACCACTAACACCAAACCAAGATGGACTTCAAGAAATAAGAACAAAATGGATTTTTGGCTCAACTAAACTCACAATCAAACTTTTATGTATAAAAGGGAATTCTCTCTTTACACTAAAGATAAGTGAATAGAAGTGATTTTTTTATAAGCCTAACATCACTCTCGCTTTAATG